GAAGGTTTCTCTTGTGAACCCCATATTACACTCTACAGACAGGGCCAGATTTCCCACAAGGCCAACCAAGGCCCGTCCTTGGGGCAGCAGGGAATAGAGGGGCAGCAGGGGTGTGGAATTCCTATCTCCCAATGACCGGGAACTGCAGTTTCCGGGCGCCGGGCAGGTAGTTGTCTTCTACATTTAGCCCAGCTTTGGGCAAGGAGAGCTAAATGTACAGCGGGGAAGCCACAGCTTGTTTTGTAAAAGTGATCTCTGCCATGTCGCCTGGGGCACATTGAGGAACCTGGCCTTGGGGCAGCAGAGAAAGTAAATCCGGCCCTGTCTACAGATCCATCTGAATTGTTATGTGCAGTCTTGGTACCTTCTGCATCTGTTATGTATAAGACATGGCCTTACTTGTGCCAGCATGGGATGTGAAACAGTTGTAATGCTCATTATTTTGCAACTAACATACAGTTGTAATTAGAAAACTACTACTAGTCTTCGCTCCCTAGCAGCTGTAGAGATTTCAGGACATTATTTCATATAGTATATATTTAGCTCAAGCTGCCTGTCCACCACTGGAAAAAGGAACAAATGGCAGGACATTAAGTGTGAGTGACAACATGAAATTCTGTTCCTCCACAATAACTGGTATATTTATTCTTTAACTATAGAAGCATTGCAGATAGGATCTGACTAATATGCAGAAAAATTGGAAACCCCATTTGTATATAATAAACACAACTATATCTTACCAAGCTATGGTGAACCTCAAGTTCAGTCTCTAGCTCCTGCACGCTCATTCTCAACATAGACAGATGTCTCTTTTGACTTTGAAGGAGTTCTATATCCTTGCTGTCTTGCGTGGTGGTTTCCTTAAACTGCAAGAAGATACATTGCTTTTATAATTGTCTTTCATTTAGTCAACATTCATTCACCTTAATGTGTCATATTGATCCTATTTAGAAGATTGCAAAATTGTATATATGTTTCTTCTTTTCTAGATGTTATCTCACCAAAAAAAAAAACTTGTAATTTTATATACCAAAGAGTATAATTGTTATAATTTTATTATCCAGCAGTGGGACTAGCACACGTTGGGACCCGATCATGGGCTTTTGTGGAGGAGTCATCCATTTATATTTTATTAGTCACATTTCATGGAGGACTTGTTTAATTAAGAACCTGGAATGTCTTTAGACATTTTATGCAATATAAATTACAGTGGACTATATGATTTTGGAGAGTAAACCCAATGAGGTTCATTGATATCGTACTCAAGGTGGATTGCAGACATCATCATAGCTCTATGTAACAGGGTACTTTTGCGGTATCTATACCTTATGAGACACTCCATACATATTCAACTGGGTTTCTTCTGATGTGTTGTCTGAGTGGCATTACTGAGAGAAAATGTGACCTATAACCTTCTGTCTTTAGTGAATGGATTTTGTCCGCTACATACCTGGGGAACCACACATTAATGTTTATCCGGAGCTGACGGAGTAATCAGTAAAAAGACAAAATATTTGCTGGGCAGCTTTAGGATTCTCTTTATGCGACACACCTAAAGGATTTCAGCCCTTAATACGTTGGTGATGTTTATGGACTCATATACATATGTGTGGATTCCCCATGTTTACATACAGTATATCAAACCAAGTTAATACTGGACAGCACAGTGGAGTAGTGGTTAGTGCTTCTGCCTTGTAGCACTGGGGGTCCTACTACGGATCTTGGCCAGGTCACTATCACACAAGCAGTTTGCATGTTCTCCCTGTGCTTGCGTGGGTTTCCTCTAGGTACTCTGGTTTCCTCCCACACTCCAAATACATGCTGGTAGGTTAATTGGCTCCTCTCTAAATTGGCCCTTGTATGTATGTATGTATGTATGTATGTATGTATGTATGCGAGTTAGGGACCTTAGATTGTAAGCTCCTTGAGGGAAGGGACTAATGTGAATGTACAATGTGTAAATTGTTGGCACTATAAAAATACCAGTAATAAATAAATACTATTTACATTTTATTGTGTATGGAGGATATCTTATATTCCTTTTTTTTTCTTTTGTGGGTTTTCTTTGGCGTGCGTTTGGGGTTTTTGATATTTAAACAAAGAGATTTTTAGATATTTATGCTATTTATCCTTTTTGAGTGTCAGATACCATATGGTCCATGGATGTTTAACAAGTGGAAATGTATGCATTTATATAATTGTTATAATAGCTTATGCAGAAGTCAAGCATGCAAACTGATGAAAGGCTGTGCATATTTTAAGCAATGTTTATTAATTAATGGTTGATGTGACTTTGCATTTCACATGCTTACTCTTCCATATTTTTTATATCAAAATAAATATCGAGATTAATAAACTAGCCACTAGAGGGAGCAAATAAACATGTTCCCCCCTTCTTAATAACTGTTAAGATGACACAGGGAGTGCATTGTTTTTATTAAGTCGGCTGACTCATAAGGAATACTTTATTAAAGGAGTAGAGGATGTTCCCTTAGCAAAGTGAATGCTCCCTTTGGTAAACATGGAGAAGCTGTGTTCATTGTACATTGTGTCCCCATGTACATTTCTAACTAAAAAATATATATACCATTTTTTTTAAATTCTTAAATTGAAAACATTATTTACATCCAGCTGATCTCTTTCAGAAGAATAACAGGGTTTTTGTACTTACTGTAAAATCCATATCTTGAAGTTCATGAAGTGACACAGGATTAGTAGTTATTCTGATAGGAATGGGTTATACTGCCACTTTCAGGAGGATTTGGCCACTGGCAAAAAAGACCCTGTGTTTGATGGTAGACATTATGAGAGGTCAATTTCTTAGCTTTTAAAAGCATTGGAATTACTGAATATGATAGACCAGGGGTGGCCACAATTTTTCATCTGGAGATCTACTTTTCAAATGACGAGCTCATTGAGATCTACCAACGAAAAAACACCTGCATTCAGGGGCGGGAGGGGGCGTGGTGGTGCATTAAATTCAAAGCCACCACAGGCAGGCCCCTCGCCCACAATGCGATCGCCTGCACCGAAATGCAGGCACTAATGTGCCTGCGTTTCGGGTGTGGGCGGGGGGCATGGCTGGGTGCCATTTACTTTAATAAAACCACACCCCCTCCCGCCCCTGAACGCAGGGAGTCGGTCGGCTTACATTCCAGTGCGTCCTAGAGGCCCCGGCGTCCTGTCCTCCCACGATGCTCGTGTGGCCGACCTTGCACTTGGGGAGAGGTGTCCCTCCCCTTTCCATCTGCCACATTCAGCCGACAGCCGCATGAGCACCGCGGGAGCAAAGCCGTAGCCAGCTCCTTTTGCGCCCGAGGCAAGAATAAAAAAACATGTGCCCCCTCCCAACAGGCATGTAATGTCACCCATATTTTTTATTTTATTTTTATTGTTTCTTATTTAATGTTTATTTTTTGTTACTCTCGGGGGGCGGCTTCGGGGAAATATTAGGGGTCTAGACAGCCTCCCAATATTTCCTTTTTAAAATAGAAAAAGAAATTGAGGACACAAAGTCCTCAATCTCTTTTTCTGCAGCCTCCGTTCTAAATTAATGGAAAGCACAGAGGCTTCCCATTCATTCAGAAAATATTTTACTATCACCAGTTTCTGAATGGGGAGGAGCCTCTGTAGTGAGTGCTTCTCCCCATTGAGAACTCATGAATGAGCAGGAAGTGATGTAAATCACATTCTGTTCATTCATAACTGGGGACACATAGTGCTATGTGTCCCCAGTTATTTACAAACACTGGAGTGATCAGCTGATCGCTCCAGTGTTTGTCCTGCACAGAGGATCGGAACATATCACTGTTATGTACAGATCCTCTGCCGCTCGACCACGCACGTGTGGGGCTCAGCTTCTCCTCTGGATCCCCCCCTGCTCTCCCGGCAGAGGCAGCGGCGGATCCGAGGAGAAGTGAAAGAAGCGCTGCAGCCGCGGGGGGATGGGCGGAGCCGCTGTCACAGAACTAAGGCCGAGCGGTGAGGGGAGAGAGAGGCGCCGGCTGTCAGATCCAGGCCGAGCGTCTCTCTCTCTCCTCACCGCTCGGCCTTAGTTCTGTGAAAGCGGCTCCGTCCTCCGCCGCGGGCTGCATCGGTTCTTTCACTTCTTCTTGGATCCCCGCTGCATACAGATGGGGAGAGCAGCGGGGATCCAGAGAAGCACCACGGGTGGGAGGAGAGGCCATCGCGATTTACCACTGATCCCTACGCGATCGACTGGTAGAGCGCAATCGACCTTATGGGCACCCCTGAGATAGACTCTTGCCTCTCAAGACCTTGGTTTCAACAGTCATGCCGTTAAAGCCAACAACCTAAAACAGGGAGGTAAACCAAACCTTGAGACAGAAGAGCTGGTCAATCTGGAAGAGCCCATGGAGGGCCAGAAGTTAGAAGAAGTCAGAGTACCACATCTACTAATCAGAAGCTATGAGTATCACCACTGCCACAGCTCTATAGGATGAAATCACTCGGTGACTAACCCAGTACCCAGAAATCAGGATAGCGCCACTGGTACAGCCTAGTGCCCAAAGGTTGAGTTCTAGAGTTGTCATGAACTCTTCGGTCCAACAGAAGCCGGGTATGGCTTCCAAAGAGGTGCCAAGGGTTAACTGAGCTGGATAACTGCACATTGAAATCAGATCAGCAGCATGCAGATGAAGTCTTGATTTAAGAAAAAACTATCTTGAGGAAAAGAAAAAGGGCTAGCAAAATAAAAGAGGGAAAGCTTTTCTCGACAGAGAAAATACATAAATCTTCCTAGTACATTTATTATTATTTTATTATTTATAACTGGCTTGGGATTGGCTTTTTTGTTTGCTGATGTCCAAATTCACTGTGGCATTATAACCCCTTCCTGTTAGAATAACTGCTGATCCTGTGTCCTTTAATGATAAGAATCAAAAAATCATTAGAAGACTATGCATTTCCTTTATTAATGTTGATGATTGTGTTTTTTTATTTAAAATATATAGATTAGATTTCACATAGATAATACATTTTTATAGAACCTTTAAATGTAACATAGTTCTCCAAACCTTTTCCACAAGCAAGGATTCATAGTGCTGTTGATGATGATTTGCTATGGCTTTGTACTGCTCTCTCATCTTCTCCAGAGCACCCGTGAGCTCTGTTGGTAGCACACTGTCCACCTCAACATTCACTTTGCGCTTAGATTTTTCCTGTAGAAGATGTTCTCTTTCCTACAAATAAAACAATAATTATATATAGGTATAGGGCCCTTTCTTTAAAAGACTGTACAGCGTTTCAGTATCCTTGCCTCCTGCTGCTGGGGGAGACAGAACAGAGTGAGAAGAGATCTGGGATTGGTTGCAGAGTAGCCTGTGTAAGAACTTTTACCCAAAGGACTGGAAAGCCTCTCCAGACTCACCAAAGCAAGAATAGATGGGAAATATTCCAATGGGGACACTATTTCTGCTGACCCTGTTGACCGCAAGGGGTTTTCCTGTCTTAGGAGAGATTTCCTCTCACTTCCTGTTGTGGCTATCAGACAGGATGTGAAAGGAAATCTCCCCAATGTGAAACAGATTTCAAAAAGAAGCTGAAAGGGGTTATAACGCTCCCTTTTTTTAAGTTTTTGCTTAAGTTATACTTTAAATATACCACTGAAATAATTGTGTTTATATTTCTTTAACCAGTGCAATAAAAACCTGTTGATTCTGCCAAAAAAATCCAGTTCTGTCATGTGCACTCTGCAGTGCTATCTCAAGGTGTCTTATCTTACTGCAGAGGTTAGCTCCCTGGACTACAGAACACCTTTCTCCTATATTATGAAGAGAAAGGGAGGCCTACTGTAGACATACTGTACTTCAACATACTGTACTTCCTGACCCAGGGTGACAACACTGCTTCTCCACAGACAAAGGACAGTAAGGGAGCATTGTCACCCTAGGGCAGGAGGTGTGTTATTGGCAGGATCATTGATGACTGATGCTTAGTGATAGGCCCGTTCTGTCACATAAAATTGGAGAGGAGAGTCCTTAGCCCTGTTTTAGCGCCAATAGCTCAGAGCTTATTTCAATTACCCGGATATAAATTGAGCTAATGGAACCTCAAGTTCAACCAAGGAGGGCCGATTTTTGAACATGTTGAGAGACAACTTCATGGACCAGATGGTCTAGGTCCCAACTAGAAAAAATGCCATCCTAGATTTAATCATTACTAATAATGCGGAGTGAATTGAGGATATTGTTATTGGGGAGACTCTGGGCAATAGTGACCACAACATGATCACTTTCAATATTGAATACAGGAAAAGCAAGAGGGCTGGTAGGACAAAAACCCTCAATTTCAGAAGGGCCAACTTTGATAGACTGCGCCACCTAGTGGGGGACATCAAATGGGAAAATTTATTTCAAAATCTAAACACGGACCAAAAGTGGGAATGTTTTAAAAACAAATTCAAATTGCCATTGCCAAATGTATACCGTTGGGTAATAAAAGTAAAAGATCACAAACAAAACCTGTATGGTTGAATAAAAATGTAAAGCATCACATAAAGGAAAAGTGAATGGCTTTCATAAAATATAAGATAGAGGGGACGGCATTGGCATTCCACAACTATAAAGAAAGCAATAAAAGATGCAAACTAGCAATACGGACGGCTAAAATAGAGTGCGAAAGACATATTGCCATAGATATTTAAAAAAAATTCACACACACACACAATAGGTTGGACTTGATGGACATGTGTCTTTATTCAACCTCAAATACTATGTAACTATGTAACTTATGGCTTCCCTTCCTTGCTCTTGGCACCTGAGTGGAGAGGAAGGGATTTAAAAGAAAGGTGAATATGTGCCAGAAACAGAACATTAAAATAAACTTTTTTTCTACACAGACTAATCAAAGAATCGCGTAAAAAATTATTTTATCAAGATTGGGAGTCTAACTTTAATAGCTCAGATGGGTTACCTCTTTATGATCCTGCATAAGGTTCTTCAGTTCCCCAGTTAAGATCTGTTCCTCAACTTCCAAACAGCGTGTCTCCATCTGCAGACCAGTGCTGGCAGCTTTGAGCTTCTTCACATCATCCTTTATAGTATCTTGCAAAGTTAATTCTGCAACATACCTATACGATTTGGAGGGAAATATTTAATAGTTGTGTTGTATTTCACCGTTGTCCAACTTTCATGTATTTATTGTGCCTCATTTTTCACAATTCTATTTCAATTCTAACTTTTAATGTTAGTTGATTATCTTTGCAGTCAGCATCTTTTCTGAATAACCTCTACAAATAAAATCAGACGGGATAGTTTGATAGCTTATTTTTCCAGCCTGTGAACCCTAAGCTTAAAAGTTTTTAAGGCCAGCGTATATAGGAATTGCTTTTCTACCCATATAAGTCAATAGAAATGCAAAAGTATCTTGAAGCAGGTAAGGAGGAGGTCAGAAGGAGGCCAAATGCAAGTTCAGAAGCATTTGTAGGAATTCTAAAGGATCTGAGAATCGTCAAATGTGAGGGGGGTGGGCAACTATATGGCAGATGAGGTTTAGTGTTGAAAAATGTAAAGTAATGCATTTTGGGGTTAAAAATAGGCAAGAGGAATACATATTAATGGGTGCTCCACTAGGGAAGTCAGAAATGGAAAAAGATTTGGGGGTCATAGTAGACCACAGATTGAATAGCGGCATGCAATGCCGGGCTGTGGCAAACAAGGTTAGCAGAGTACTATCTTCTATTAAAAAGGGAATGTTCTGTAGAGATAAAGCAATTATTTTGCCGCTTTATAGATCACTGGTTTGGCCTCATCTTGAGTATGCAGTTTAGTTTTGGTCACATGTCTACAGAAAGGATGTCCTTGAGCTAGAGAGAGTCCAGAGAAGGGCAACTGAACTAATTCAGGGGCTGGTGGACCAAAGCTACGAGACAAGGTTGCTAAATTTAAACTTGCTCATGCTAGAAGTGAGGCGATTAAGAGGGGACATGATTTTTATGTACAAAGTGTTGCCATCACTGTCTCTCTATAAACTGGCTGAGTTCTTTAAGTACTTTGGGGTGCAGGTTATCTGGTCCTAATGCTTTATTTGCATTAAGTTTTTCAAGTCTTTGTTGAACCCCAGCTACCGTCAACCACTCCATCTCCATTAAACCCATCTTTTTCCTGAGTATATACTGAAGAGATAATATAGAAGTTCATAGGTGAACTTCTATATTAGATTTTATGTTATATCACTGCTAAAAATGCTACTGAGACTAAATTTCTGGCAATGGAGCAGTAAGAGAGCAGTATACCGGTGGTGTAGGTTACTCCGTAGGATAATATAAATTAACTCAAAGACCAAAGGGTTTGAATTTACACGCTCACCATATAGGTGATCAAATCATTCCATAGGCTATGCGGTACACATAGTTTAGTACACTCTAATAAAACATAGTAAATTGATTTCTTCTATTGCCTTCACTTTGTTATATCCAAAGTAAAGTGAATCAGATTGGCTGAAATTGCTCTAGGTCAATGTCTCCTTTGAAATATTCTAATGTTGGTGTATGTATCTCCCCGGTGGGGGCTCAGGTGGTAAGATCTCTACCCCTGAATTTCTAGGTCGTCACTCGTTACAGTTGCCATGGTCAATATATTGGATTCTATTTCTTTCTTTTTTAAAGCCAACCTTCAGCCAAAACCTTTGATTTCCCTTTATTCTGTACAAAGTAGGGAAGTGTAAAAGCAGTGTCCGATCCCATTAGGGATAATTCTTCTCACTTCCTGTATGGTCATCATGACTATTCACATGACTTTTGACACATCACTATTTTTTTAATAGTGGGGAATAGTGTAGAACTTCTTTTTATTGTTACGTGTGTCCTGGTCGGTAACTCCCCTTCACCAGGACAAGAAGTGAGCTGAAATCTACCCAGACAGCAAGAAAAAAAAAACGTTCTAAATCTTCCACTATCTGTCCAACATTAAAAAAAAAAAGTAGGAAGAGGACCAAGACTTCACAGATATTGAAAACCAAGTTAAGGATTACAGATGGGGAGATTCTACCACTGGAGTTCCCTCTTTTGGGTGGGTTTTTAATATAGTCAAAGTTTTCACTTTATTAGTTGCTTTTGGTAGAGCTGCACGCATGGAATGATTGTCAAGAACTAATAGATTATTTTAATACAATCAGCCATTCCTTTTTCCTTTCTTCAATTTCATCACACAGAGAAACCTTTGAGTTTCTGGTAATCTGTAGAACCAGGGTGGTCATGCATAACATGATCTGCATAAAAGAAACCTATTACTGTGGAAACAATGGAACTCACTTCTCCTTAAAGCAGTCTGCTGCTGTTTTCGTGTTCTCAATATTCAGCCACAACCCGGCATTAGCTTGTTTTGCACTTCTTATCTGAGGAACAAACAAAAAACTATTTTAGCTAAATAAGTTTGTTTTTGAGGGTAAATAGTTGTTTTTTATTTACATACACTCAATGCACACTTCCACAGACATTGCCCAGGAAAAGTCAACATGTCTGGAATCAACCAACCAGACTTTTGGAAAGGTAGGCCTCTGATGTCTCAATCCTGAGCTTCGGCCTCTACCTTTTTTATATTGTCACATACGTACATACATGTTAAACACAGGACACACACACACACATAATCGCTCATTCGAGAATACCTATAGGTATTTTCTCACATATCAGAAGAAGAACATACATTTTAGGATCACCATCTTGATTTATGTGATTTATATGCCATATATTTTGTAATTTTTTTTTTTTTAACGTGTCCAAATCTCGTCTTTTATACTTGGTAAATTTTGAGACTGAGGTTTTTTTTTTTCGCACAGTAAAAACATTTGAGTTTTTGCTAAATAGATGAAGCTCATAAACTTGAGCGCAAATCCTGTATAACATACAACATTTTGGGCCTTTTTTTATTTTATAGATCTTCCAATTTGAGAACATATATAGTGGAAGGGATTTTTTTTCTTTTTGGATTTCGGAATCTGATTTAGTTTATTATTCAGATTTCGGATTCGGAATTCGGTTCGTTATTCGGATTTTGGATATGTCTTAATTTTAGTTTCAGAATGATCTACAACAGGAAGTCACATGACCATGCCTGTAATGCAACCCCTAACAGCCCCAAAAAACATCTGATTGGCCAGAGAACAGTCACATGCCCAATTTAGTTTAGTTTTGAATTAAATTCATAGGGATCCAAAATGTTGGATTTCTTCGCATTCAGACGACACATTCAAATTCGGAAATTTGGATGCATCTGAATGTCCGAATTTAGCAAAATGCATGCAAATATCAATTCGTAACGAAACAAAATGTATATGTCTTGTTCTGAAATGTTAGACGTTTTTTAAGCTTATCTCAGCTAATTCTTCACTTCTGATGAGTGCCAGGAAAATGTCCCAACATCTATATTTAAACAGATAGCACAGACCATGGAAAAGCGGATGTTGATTGTCCAAGAACAGGATAGGAGGTTATTTGTCAAAATATTGCATTGTTCTAGTGTATTTACTTTATTTTCACCTGGTAATACAGTAGCCGGCAAGACTCACTCACCGTACTGTATCTATGGAGGAACAGTGTATTCCCTTAGGACAGGGCTCAAAATTTCCACTCGCCTGCTCACATTTGGCGAGTAGAAATAAGGTGAGGGCGAGCGGAAATTTGGGTCTCCAAGTACCGGTCCGCAGGCCAACTCCGGCCCGCGAGGCGGTACTATGTGACTATGCAGACCGCGTACCTGACTTGCGGGAGCAGCTCCACGGTCTGCATCTGTGTCGGAGCAGCTTCTTTCGGCCGGAGCTCTGACAGTTCTGAGCTCCGGCCGAAAGAAAGGATGTATGTGAGGAGGATCCTGGTTATGCCTGATGCCTTGTTATCTAGGTGTGATTTGTGAGATCTGCTGCAGACCTCACTACTCACCCCCAGATAACCAGGGATCGATCCTGCTCACAGCCTCCTCCCTGCAAAGACATGAACAGGTGAGGGGGCTGGGGGGGGAGTGTATTATTATTTTGTGTGTGGGGGGGGGTTAATAAGGGGGGGGAGTATATTATTTTATGTGTGTGTGGGGCTTATAACGGGGGGGGAGTGTATTTTGTTGTGTGTGGGGGGAATTTTATTATTATATTTGTGCGGGGGGTGGAGGGGGTGTACCGTTGAGAAGTGTATTACTGTGTTTTAAGCTGCCCATACACCTTACAACCATCGCACGACTTTCGTCATGCGATGGTTGTAAGGTCATTAAAATCTCGTATGATTTGCCCATCTTGGACAGGCAGATCGTACTTGCGATGATTGCAGTGCTGAGCGGGTAGTGTGCGCTTGCGCACACTGGCCTGTGCGGCATTCGTCTTCCGAGCCCGCTGGAAAACCTGCCGAAAATCGTACGATTTTTGGCGGGTTGGTGGCGTGGTCGGAAGACGAATGCCGCACGGGCCGGAGTGCGCAAGCGGCCCGTACGACCTTATAGTAGAAGCGGTCGCACGCTGCCCATACACCTGCCGATTATCGTACGATCACGGGATCACCCATAACTATGGTACGATAATCGGCAGGTGTATGGACACCTTTAGTGTATGTGTATATTAGGCCCCATTCACACCTACAGTATATTTCAGGTGTGATTAGAGATTCCTGTGTCAGGAACTTGCATTTTCCTGCAGCAGGAATCCCTAATCTGCCATTTACAATCGGCAATTAAGGCCGGGCCAGGGTAAGGGTTAAGTGGGGCAACTGGTGGCTAGTAACTCTCAAGGCCTGGCTAGTAGCTCAGGACTTGAAATTTTGAGCCCTGCCTTAGGACATAGGATATGTTATGAACACAGAACATCACAACATACTGGGGTGGTTTTCTATAGCCCTAACACTAGGGATGCACTGATACCGAGTACTCTCCCAAATGCTACAATATGTACTCCCGATACCGGGACTTCCGATCAGAAGGAGATTTCTTCAGAATGGCAGTGCCATGAGAGAACATGGAGTCAGCTTCCCGGGCAAATCAGGAAGCCAGGCAGTGGGTAATGACTCGCCACTCGGCTTCTTGATTGGCCGGGAAGCTGCTTCCATGCTAGTGGAAATACCAGTATCGGCGATTACCAACAGATAAATATCGGTACTCAATACCAAAAAAACAGTATTGGTGCATCCCTATCTAACACACTTCTTAATATCATTGAGATAACACCGTGCAGAGGAACATGCAAGCTCTCCATTTCTGGCAGGCTTAACAGGTATTTCTTACACTTTTGAAGCAGATATAATAAAACCCTTTCATTTGCATGTTTAACGGGCAAAAAAGGAATACGTAACAGAAGTTGTGATAGGGCTACTTTAGTGTAAGGAGTGTTTAGAAAAGATAAGGATTTTTACTCAACAACTCAAGCCCTTGCAGCGTAATGGGCGCAATCGTCGTTTTCGCAGGTATGTGCACCTGACGCATGTTTACATGCGTGTATGTAGGGGTGGGGACTTTAAAAAAATGTTGTTTTTTTATTCTTTTTTTATGTGTAACTTTAAAAAAAATTGTGGGAAACTTTAATTTTTTTTCCTATTATTATGTTTTTTTCACTTAACTTTATTGCTATCACAGAGGGGGCTGAGAAACTGGGCGCACGTCACGGGACCTCATACAAGCGATCTGCCAGCTCTATAGCCGGCGGATCGCTTGTATATAAACGGGCATCGCTGCCTGTTTTCAAATGACGTGCATTTCCCGCTCGCGCGCGCCGTGTACACACGCCCAGTTACATCCAAGAAGCTCCCGGCCGGCCGGGAGGTAGTTAAACTACTACTGCTGGTCTTGTTCTCAGTGCCCAGTACTAACCTACCTAGAGTTTGGGAGCACCATGCATATTTATCCCTGCTTTATCAGTAAAGATTAACAAATTATAGGCAGAACTTGTAAACATATACAGTAATTCTAGAAGCTGTTAGCCATCTCTCCATGGTCAGTCAACATTGGTGGCTTTGCCAGATATAGACCCAGTGCAGATATCTTCCATTGTTTACTCATTTATTAAATATTATGGCGGGGAATATTTAAAACCTGGCACTGTAATTTCTTCAGTGGTTAGTGTTTTGCACAATAGATATTTTAGTGGTGCCCTGTACACCTCCCATCAATGTAATTACTATATTATACAGTAAATAAGAAACAGATAAAGATCTCAATACTTTTTCCATGCTTTTTGTGCAAGCTTTTTGTTGACACATTTATTTCCAGAGGGTTGAAGCTGCCCTTTGTTTATGAAAAGATAACCTGTTCTTGTTGGCTTATGTGGTTTGCAATTCATTCAAAGGATGCCGATATCAACATGCATATATTGTTTTGATATTCAATGTAACCATTGTCTTATTACTAGCCTAACCTACTGTGTGTTCCAACTACAGAGAGAATGATCTGTGGTTAGATAGTAAAAGATAACATGTGCTATATTATTTGATGGGAAGACAAATAATTATACTTGAATACAAACAATCTGTGGAGTAAGAAAATGTTAACTAGCTGCTGATCGGGCATTCACAATTTGGGGAACCTGCTATTCTAACAGGACATTTAAAAACATCTTTGTTTATACAGCAGTGCGTGAGTCAGGCACGCTTCAAGTGCTGTCATTAAACAGCGCAGATCATATGAAAAATAGTCAGAGTGGCTCAGGTGCCACCAACTTTCTAAGGGGGGAAAGAGGGACATTTTTTATAGCAGAAGTATGTAGGTAAAGGACGCAATGCTGCCACATCCACAGTTACTTGACCATTAATCAAGAATACGTAAAAAATGATTGGTTGAATCCACAAATCTTTTTTACTTCACTTAATTGCCTTAAAATTGTTTTTTTGAAAACATATGCAATAGTTTAAGTTGGATGAAAGGTTTAGTGTAGTACAGCCCTTCTTAGGGAAACATGACATTTTAACGAGGTCTATATATACTTTAGGGCAAAAAAAGGGACCCCCCTTATCACCTGGGTCAACCTGGGATATCACCAATACCTCCCCCTTTATCACCCACGTAAACCTGCTTGATCACCAATACCCGCTTTAAATTTTTAGGCCGAATCAGCTGCCTGACGTCCTGTGCATGCTGGGGACCTCACCTCGGCAGCCTTCCTGTGAAGGCACTTGTTTACAGCACCAGCCGCACATCTCCTCCTCCTTACTGGGGAGACCCCGCACAGCCCTCCTGTATTGCTGGGATTTGAAGTCTTCTATACCTGGTGGTATTCTGTATTGCTGTATAGCGTATTGCTGAGATTTGTAGTCCCTCTACAGTTTGGAGTCTGTGGCAGAACTACCAGGGTCGCAGCGGGACAAATGCAACCAGGCCCTGGCATTCCACCACTGTCCTAAAATCATTAGTATGTCACATGACACACACAAAAAAAGGTATCTGTAAATGGTATCGGCGAGTACTTGAGAAAGTATCGATACTTGTACTCTGTCTTGAAAAAATGGTATTGGTGCATCCCTAGGTTAAACCTATAAAAATATAGCTTTTGCTGTTTTATTTATGTTAGATATTGACCTGTGGACTGTCACTAATCTGTAATTCATCACTTAGGGGCTCATCTCTAAAAAATAAAAAAAGCAATACTGCATATTTACAAGGAACAGCGATGTTCTATAAAGAAATTGAGGGGGCTTTTTTTAAAAGAGTGGAGAGGACAGCCCAGTCATGTGACCTGGCAAAATCTCATGTCCCATTCTCCTCCTTTCATGGACCTCTCTCTACTTTGTCAAGCAGACAGAACTCAATGGGGCTTCACTAGTCACACACAGCTGCTGGATTTTTATGAATGAGATGTGCCACAGTAGCCGTTGCATAGTGGTGCTAATTGGAGAGTGCATAATATTATCCACTCCCCATTGCAAATTATCACCTTAGAGTGGCTCCTATAACTTTAGGGTCACTTGTAACCTCTAACTTACCACACTCATCTGACCTCTGTAGACAATCTTGATGTCATACTGGTAACCATGATGGAACCATCGCTGCAGAACATTTATTAAAAAAGTGGACAGTTAAGATTTTTCACTATAGATTATGGCTTTTAGCACACTATAGGTGACAGAAGGGCACAACTATTCATAGACGGTTCTCCTGCTGCCCAGCTTTACAACAAGCTCATTAGAAATATCTTATATGATGCTGGAATATTTTTTGCATAACCAGTTCCTAAAAAAGAGTTACCTAACATTACCAAGATCACTTTTCACTGGGCTATGGCTATTAAAAGACACCAAGCTTTTAGTAAAATCTGAGTATCTCTTGTTACTAAAACAAATACCTTAGTGGGCAGTTTTAAATGAAACTTAAGTAGATGTCTATTTTGCAAACTACAGTATCACACCAGAATAGAACCAGCTTACTGCTGTACTGAGCGTCACTTGTGCAATAATTTAGTGCAGTAATATTCTGAGCCCAGGCTGCGGGGTGATGCCACCCCAAAGGGGATGATCCAATGACAGCCTGGACGCAGAGGAAGAAGGTTGAATAATGCTGGCTGTCATTCTAACCGATAGACTGGGGACACCTAGTGACAGAGAAGAAGGACTCCTACATATTAAAGGGCAATGTCTCTTTCAAGCCTACAGTTAAAGTGGACCTTAATCCCCTTTCCCTAAAAGTCAGAACTCTTTTCAGTGCTACCCCTGCACTGCAATGGTCAACTGCTCATTTAGGTCTAGGAGCTCAAATAAAGCATACTCACCTGATCCTCAACCCTGCCTAGCTGCTGGAGCGATCCCCACAGTCTCTTTTCCCCCGGGCTGTGACAGTCTAAGACCTGCTGACGTCATCACGTCTATGCAAGGTCCATTCACTTAGGTTAAACCTGAGGATGCCAAGGAATATATCGCAGCCGAAGCGGGTGGGGGCAGGGAGGTGAGCGTTGACCAAGATTTGGGATCGGATGAGTATCTTTTTTTTATTCAGCTCCCTACACCAAAATGAGCAAATTTTGGAGATCTGTCTACATTTTTGCTTTCACTTACAATTACTGTTTTACCACTTCCTGATTGAGTGAGGCACTGATGATGTAGCCCTGGCCTCACAGATGCATCTTGGGAAGGCTACATCACCAATGGCTCCCTGGGAAATATCATCTGTAAACTGCAAACTCTTGTGACACCTTGGGGGAAAGGCATTTTATTCCCCCTCAGATGATGTGCACTGTCACATATTCCAGGAGGTAAACCCAGAGTTCCAGGAAGTAAAGGGAGATGGATTAATCTGCTCTTAGTGAAAATGGCCACCATGAGAAGAATGGGAGGAAAATAAAAATAAAGTATGCAATAAATAAAAATCCTGAAATGATCTATAAGGATTTCTTTGTAGATTGCTATTACTAAACATTTCTAAAAGGTGCCTCTGTTGTCATTTTTAAGATAAGGGTGAAGTTCCATTTAAGACAGTCATAGTTGCAACACAAGACACAGAGAGCGCCTCCATCGCATAAAAACTTTTTAATAAACGAATAAAAAAATGGTATAAAAGGTACTCACAAAGGAAGAATAAAAACAGGCATAAAAGGGTCAGAACGAAAGGTGCGTATCCACCGGCTATTCGTCTTCCCTGGTAGTGAAGTGGTTTGCGCGTTTCAGAGGTCACACCTCCTTCCTCAGAACCAGAACAGTCATAGTTATTCAATGCCAGTTGGGCTGCCAGGTATAGTCTAAATGCTTAGCATGTGTATCAGCTAGCTGTCACATGAATATGTGAACGAGGAGGAGCTTAAAGAGGCATGGTCACCTTGCGCATTCTGTGTGAAGTTGCCCCCTAACCCACTGATATTTCTCTAGTGATCCTCCACAACTCCTTCCTCTGTTGCAACTGCCACCAAAACCCCTGGTGCTGCAACCTACAGGAAGCAGTTGCATTATTTGACAGTGCTCAGGCTTGGCTATTGGCCACTAGTCCCATTGCATCATGGTTGGTGGTCACATTATCCTCCATACTAGGGATGCACCGATACTTGTATTGGAATTGGTTCCGATACCGAGTATTTATACAAGTACTTGTACTCGCCCAAATGCCTATCCCAATACCGGAACTTCTGATATCAGGAAGCCGGACAGCTTGTCATTACATGCTGCCCGGCTTCCCGGGAAACCGGCTCCATGCTCTTTTGTCACTTGGTGACGAGAAGGAATGGATCCGGCTTTCTGGTCAATCAAGAAGCCGGGTGGCGTGTAATAACTACCCTTCCTGATTGGCCAGCTTTTCAACCAATCAGGAAGTCGGGTGGCGAGTCATTACCCGCCCCCCACTTCATAATGGGCCAGAAATCTGGCTCCATGCTTCCTCATCACCTGGTGACGAGGTAGCATGGAGCCAGCTTCCCAGCCAATCATGAGGCTGGGCGCTGTGTAATGACTCGCGTGTGACCTTCCCCCATTGACAATGCATGGGTCTAGAAGCCAAATGCTGGGCCAGAGCACTGTCACATGTACACCTGGAACTTCAACAAACATGCTGATCAGGAATGTCAGAGAAAAGTCAGGAGTTTGTTACTGACTCAAAGTACTAAAAACCTAATGGGTCAGAATAGCAAGCCAGGCAACTAGCATTTTCATAAAGAATGGAAGCCATGGCATCCTTTATGTGTAACTCATAGTAGGTTTTCTTTAAGGGTCCATTCACACCATATTGTTGTGTTAAATGCACTGTATCCATCTATTTAGCACATGCTATTGTGCATGCATTACCATTCATTTGAATGGCACCCCAATGCACCTCCCAACACGGCACAACACACAGTACCACAATAAAAAAAGTAATGCATGCACTGCTTTATTTCACAGCAATGCAGTGTATTGCGGCACAGCACGTTGTGCTGGAGTCGGCAGGTGCATTGGAGTGCCGTTCAGATAAATGGCAGTGCAGCACATCTAGTGCACAGTACCGCAGGCCAGCTGAGCTGTGTGATAGCATGCGCAAAACATATAGATACTGGGCGTGTAATGCTGTGCTGTGGTGTGAATGGGTCCTAAATTGTACCACAAGCTAGAACTTTTTTTGTAAAAAGTGGGCAGTTAACAACCTGAACATTGTCAGCTTTTTTTCTATACATAATTAATTAATGTTCCTTGGACCCTCTGGGGAGATTTCCCTTCTACTCCTGTTCTAGAAACACAACAGGAAATGAAAGGAAATATCTCCAAAGTGAGGGTAAATCCACTCTTCTGGAGCTGTCAGCAGAGGATGTGTCTCCATTGTAGGATTTCTCTTCACCTGCTTCATATAACCACCAAATTATAGACTTTCCATCACTTTCTGTCCTGGGAACAATGGTCACAGGATGAGTAAAGAGGGTGAGTCTCTACACAACACTAAAAACCTGTCAGGTTTTAAACTTCACACTGTATCCAACACGCTTTATTTTCTAGCACAGTGTGTGTGTTTGTTTTTTTTTATATATACAGTATATGTATAATTTTATAATGTATAATGATATATTTCTATTTGCAAACGGTTATGTTTATAAATTAAAGCCTATCTCCGGAAAAACCCTTGGGTCTAACCCTGCGCTGCCTGCTTTTGTCTAGGGGTATTCTTTAAAGCAGTTTTACTTACCTGATCCCTGCAAGCTCCTCCTCCCCCTCTGCTCCAGAGGTCCGAGGCCTACTGATGTGCTCATATACAGTACAATGCAGGACCCATAGCCCATCATTAGATGTGAGGACACTGAGGGACAGTCTACAGCCAGGGTGGAGGGGAAAGAGGTGAGCGTTGACTGCCAGGGGGAGAGGGGAACAGGTAAGAAAAACTGTTTTAAAGAATCCCCCTAGAAAATAATAAGTAATAAGGGGGTAGCCCCACTGCATGGGAAGAATTATTTTGTATTCGTAGATAGAATTTACGGATAATAATAAGTAGAAGAAATTGATTATTTTACCTGACTTTCCAGATCGTCGATCGTCTTTAGATAAGAACTGTGGTCGTGGCCTGTTGCCCGTTTCTCAGACACCTTTTTGATCTTCTCCTCCAGCTGTTGGCTGGACTCTTCCAGTGTCCGCACTCTCTCAAGATAAGCCGCCAAGCGATCATTTAATTTTATCAAGACGTCCTTCTGACTGGGACAGCAAAAATCCGCACTTGCCTTCCTATTTCCATGGATCAGTCTGTGCCCGTTGTCTTGTCTTTTTGTCCTGACCAAATCGTCTACTCGCCAGAGGGACATTATGAACGGAGAATGATTAGAAAATCCAGCAGGAGCTAGCAGTGCAGTCTTGCTAGTTTAGGACATGATTAGAAGAATGATTATACAGCTCCCATAGTAACACAAACTAAGTAAATTGTATTGCTTAACTTTAGCTGCCTGTTATTGGCTCAGCAAGTGAACCATGCCAACCGGCTCAGATTTCACTCACCTTGGGTAATAATTTCTCTACTATTTACCTTGCTTGCTTTGCCTTGAGGGATTGTCAGGTTTGCAGTGGGCGATTACTCACCATGCAGCTTGGTCTGGCCTGGCTGAAAACTCTAAGCTGGAAGTGTGAGACATTCCTGGAATGCCAGTGGTGACAGGGATCAAAAATACCTGCTTGTAAACTCACAGAGCTAAAACCGGCTGGCTGGGAAGGAGATAGTGAGACAGAGGTTGGTTTATTCTACGCTGCCTGGGGATATGTACTGTTCAGTTTGGAACATGGGATTTACATAAAGAATAATAGCCCATTGATGTGCACTAGAAAGAGGATTTAGTGACAGTAGCCTTACTTCACCTGTGCTGCTGCTGTTGTTTTATAGTTCACCCCATTTTGCAGGTTACGTGGAATAGCATATAGCATCAGGGTTAAAGCCAGCTCTCCTCATGGCTGGGACACACGCTGCCATCTTTGCAGCCTTTGGGGTGCATGGTTGTGGGTGGGCCAAGGTCTAGTAGCACAACCACTTCACTCGCTTTTAGTATTCACGTGTATCATACCTCCCAACTTTCTGAGATGAGAAAGGACATCTTTCAGTACAAAGTATGTAGGGAAACATACACCCCCGCCATGAAGAATTAATATGTAAAAATGATTGGTGCTTTTTTTCATCGCTGTTTTTTCTTTATACTGACTTTTCACAATAAAAAGTACAATCATTTAGGGCAGTGGTCCCCAACCCCCGGTCCGCGGTCCCCCCCCCCTCAGCGGGCCACGGTAAAATTATTAAACGTTGACCGGTCCACGGCGATAAAAAGGTTGGGGAGCACTGATTTAGGGGGTTGTTAACTAAGCTGCCAAAGGCAGCCGAGTGAATAACCGAGCCGAAGTTGAGGGAGCCAAACCCCATTAGGCTATTCCCTAAAGCTGTGTACGGCTATTTTTAGCCATACATCGGCTGGTTTCGGCTCACTTCTCTTCAGTTCAGCTGAACAGCCTCAGCACGTTCGGATGAACCGGAGGGAAGAACCCATTCGTCTCAGCCAATCCAACAGCTGGATCAGCTGAGGCGAACGTTCGGCAGTTCATTCCCTGCTGTTGGCCCCTATTCTCATAGCAGCCGAACACCAGAGGTTGAATAGCTGAATGCTGCCGTGCAGCATTTGGCTCGGTCATTCTGTTCGCTACATCAGAGGTAGCGAAGAGAATGAAAATGACATGTAAACAAAAGAAAACAAAAAGGTAGGAATATTAGGAGGGACCCCCTAGATAAAAAAAGTGTGGGGTTCCCCCCAAAAGTCATACCAGGCCCTTTAGGTCTGGTAGGCATTTTAAGAGGGGAAAAACCGTGTGGTCCCCCGTAAAAGTCTCAATCAGACCAATAATCTGGTCACTGGCCTGGCAGGGTAGAAAAAGGGGTGGGCGAGCAAGTGCCCCCTCTTCCCCCCGCTCCATACCATACCATACAAAAGCAGGCGGTAGTATCTCCTAGTAAAACATAGATACTATTTTTCACATCAGATGCTTACCTTTCTGTAATCCTATTAAGGAGATTCCCCTTACTACTTCATCCAGTGACAGCATGTCACGAGGAAAAGAAATAAGGGTAAATCTTTAGGGACCCATTCACACTTCTTTATTCCTGTGCATTGTGTCAGGTGTTAATGTGCATTGCGTTGAGGCAGTCTATTTGTTTTGAATGGGCTGACAATGTGTAGGATGGGACCAAAAAACTGACATGCAACATTTTTTCCAGAAGCAGTGCCTAAACATATGGTAGTGTGTTACCATGCCTTGTGGTGTCTTGCAACACATGTGCGTCGGAGCTGTGTTTTTGTGTCAAAATGAAAGTTACTGCATTTACCAAATTTCAAAGGTGTGAATGGCTTCTAACTCTAACTATGAAGTGCTAAGACAACAAAGGGAGCACAAAAGACCTGGAGAACTCATGAGGGTTAAAATGTTAATTATTTGTTCAATGTCTGTGCAAGTGGTGTAAGTTTCTGAATTTGATTTGGTATAAGCCTCTTGTCATTGGGCGGACAGCTGCCTCTGGATAGGGGGGCATTACGGCCAATCAGAGTTAGCAAAGAACATGCTGAAAAATGGAGACTATCTAGAAAGAGATACAAATCCTTTAGCATGTATTACAGCTTTTGTTTTTGTTTTTTATCCATGATTATTATTTTTGGCCTGCAGTGAATGAATTCCAGTGTCCACCTTGACAAACAGGTTTCTCTGGGGCCCAGTTTGGGCTTTAGGTCACTGCTCAGGTTTTTTGGAATTTGCCAAAGGAAAACTATGTGCAATTAATCAGTAAGGCAAGTCTTTTTTCTTTCTAATAGTCTCCAGAAATGTGCTATTTTCCATTTTGTTGCTGCCTCATCCCACCCTTGGGACTCATTCCCACCAGCTGTGTTGGGTTTGTCAGTCTCATTGGGCAGTGTTGCCCAATGTAGTTCCAACGCAAGAACAAGTCAATTTTCTTTATGTCCTATGGCTTCACTTCACATCAACACAATGCTTTTATGTGCACTAAAAAGGGTAGGACAATTTAAGGCAATGTGTTCCGATGTGCGTAGGATTTATAGTAGGGCTGTGAAAATAAAAGATTAATTTCTCGTTTAATCGTTAAACTTTTTGATCGATTAAAATTATTTTGATCGCTAATGAAAACACTCACCTCTCTGCCGGCTTCCGGGAGTTCCGTTGGCTAACGAAGGGGGGAGGAGTCCGGTGACGCCGGTGTCACCGGACTCCTCCCCCTTCCCTTCGTTAGCCGTCATGGACATTGATGTCACCGGACTCCTTCCCCCTTCCTCAAGTGGCTCCGTCGGATAAAGAAGGGAAGGGGGAGGAGTCAGGTGACAATGTCCATGACGGCTAACGAAGGGAAGGGGGAGGAGTCCGGTGACGTCGATGTCCGTGACATCACTCGACTCCTCCCCCCGTCGTTAGCCGACGGAGCCACTTGGGCCGGTGAGTTTGCCCAAGAAACTTTCTGCACAAGCGCCAGCCAAGGCATTGGCCTATACACATACAGCACAGCAATGAAGTAATACAATGAACTAGGATCACACTAATCCAGCACGTTATTATTCAGGGTTGCCCCCCTCAAGCGGCGGCCATATTGAGTGGGGCACGTGAGATTAATAACGTGCTGGATTAGTGTGATCCTAGTACATTTTATTACTTCATTGCTGTGCTGTATGTGTATAGGCCAATGTAGTTGGATCTGTATGTGCGTTATAATTAATCGAAATTAATCGATGTAAAAAATTTTTAGATTACTCGATCACGAAAATTTTAATCATTACCAGCCCTACTTTATAGCTAAAAAACAAGGAAGCAATGCAAATAATTTAACAACACATTGCAGAGCATTTCCTTTTGTGCAACATTTTACAATTGGTGCACTAGTCATTTCAAACCCTTCAAAGTGAACCATAATTTGGCACACCCAGGAATGCTTCCATGTGCCTTTATATTTGGGGACTGACCATAGTTTATCTGGTCCACTGACTATACAGACTGTGAAGGAAGGGCACAGATGCACATTGACAGAGAGTGTGATGAACAGGCACAGACAAACACATACTATAAAGGCCAGGCACAGATGTACTTTAAGAGATGCAGACACTAACAGAAGCAGCAAGTGACACAAACAAATACTTCCACAGACCTTGACCTTGAAATGTGTGTTCACCAATGCTATAAGCCTGGCAAACAAATTGGAGGAACTGGAACTCTTACCACTCGGAGAGGAATATGACCTAGTGGGAATAGCAGAAACCTGGCTGGATGGATCACACGACTGGGCAGCAACTATCAATGGATATTATCTATTTAGAAGGTATAGGGAGGAAAGAAGAAGGGGAGGAGTATGCCGGTATGTCAGGAATTAACTGACAGTGAATGTAAGGGATGATATGCACAGGTAAACAGGGGTAAAGCTGAGATACTATATAAATGGAAATGAAGGATAATAAAGGGAAACTACTAGTTGAAATATGCTACAGGCCTCCAAACACTGAGGAGGAGACTCATATAATATCACAGATAGAAATAGTGGGAAAGAAGGTAGATTGGACAAATGAAACGGAAAACTCTAGAAGGGCTCATCACTTCTTGGACCCTCTCCGGGATAATATCATGGGACAATTGGTGGCAACCCAGAGGCGGGAAAATGTGTTTGCTTTATTAAGTACAAATAGCACAGAGCTGATTACAGATGTGGAAGTCAGGGACAAGCTAGGGAGCAGTGATCACAGAATGATAATGTTCACAGTAAACTCAGGGAAATACAGTCTTTTTCCCAGTTTTTTTGGCTAAAATTAGGTACCTCGGCTTATATTCGGGACGGCTTATACTCGAGTATATACGGTAGGTAATACAAGAAGTCTCAATTTTAGAAAAGCTAACCTTAATAAACGAAGAAGCCTACCATGTGACATTCATTGGGATGACATCTTTTTGAATAGGAACACAGAGGAGAAATGGAGAGGTGTCAAGGAAATCTTGAATAACAAAATTGCCCAGTGTATTCCATTTACAACTAAATTCAGAAAAGCAAAAATTAAACCAGGGTGGTTAACGAGCAAGGTAAAACAACACATAAGAGAGAAGGATAAGGCCTTCAAAAAATATAAATCAGAGGGGACAGCATCAGCATTCAAAAACTGCAAGGAATGCAACTAAAAATGTAAAATAGCAATCAGGGCAGCAAAAGTAGAATATGAAGAGCTGTTAGAATACATATTACTGTGTTTATAGCAACAACTTCTGCAGTATACAATTTCGGTCACTAGATGGCAGTGTTTATAAGTTCTGTTATATCTATGGTAGATTATCTGCTGTATTGCATAAAGGTAGAGAATACAGCTGTGGCTTCCTTCAAGCCATGTGCAGCATGCATATCATATGTCCTTGTGTTTCTCGGTGAGGCTGTGCATAAAGTTACAAAAAGAGCACATAGCCTTAGTAAGCAAAAAGAACGCAAATAATTATTTAAATATATAAATAGTAAGAAAGTACAGACAGAACCTATAGGCACC